CAAAGTCTGGAGAAAAGCTCTCGAAAATAATCGAATAAATACATTGTTAACAAATTTATTATCTGCTGGAGAATTAAAGTTATTTGTTTCTTAATAATAATTTAATTTATTTTAAGGAATGTTGAGATTTAAATATCCTTTGGCCCGTATTGTATGCAGGGGTGGCAATTCGTGTTCATGGGTCGGGTTCGGGTCGACCTGTGTCTGACACGAACACGAATAGACTCAACCCGAACACGACACGATTAACAAATCGTGTTATAAAATTCAACCCGTACACGACCCATGTATAAACGGGTTGACACAATACAACCCGAATTTGAGGGCAATCTGTATTTTACACGGCACGACACGACCCGACACGACACGACTCGACACGACCCGACCCGACACGACTAAACAGAAAGTGATATTAATTCAAATCATATTAAAACTGTTCAATCTAATTCAAATCAAAATAACTTACTACATTGAACTCCATCAGTCCAACATCAAAACATAATTAAATGCAACCTACAACAAATGTCTCATTGTTACAGCAACTTCTTCCACCAAAATACAAATTAAGATCACAAATTCAAGATCATTTAACTGATTAAAAATTTGAAATATAAAAGTCATTATGCAACTGAGTAATTTTGAGTGCCATGGTCAGCTATTGAATGTAGATTCATGTCCATGATATCTTCTGTCAATTCTTCCAAAGCTATTGCTGAGTGCTCTATAAAAATAAAAATCAAATGAGTTAATTAAAATCCTTAAAATAAACAGTTAATGAATAAGTGATTGATAATGTATATTACCTTGCTCTCCATATAACCAATCTCTAGTGCAAATCAATGCTTCAACTATGTCAGGTTTGAGTGAACTTCGGTATTGATCAAGTACTCTTCCTCCAACACTAAAAGCACTTTCCGAAGCAACACTAGAAATAGGTATCCCAAAAATATCTTTTGCCATTGCAGCAACTTCTGGATACCTAAATTGATTAGCCTTCCAATATGATAACACATCCAAGCTAATATTTCTTCTGTCAATCCTTGGATCCTCTAAATATAATTCAAGCTGAGTCTTTTGTGGCACAACCACTTCGTGAAAAGTATCAAATTCCTAACAATATTATAAAATAAATAATATCAATAAATATACAAAAGAATATAAACAATTACAAGACAAATAATTATGTTAACTTACACTCAAAACATCTCTAGATGTAGTACAAATTGACGTTTCATCAATTGTCTCACTCCCATCATCTCCAGCCCTACTTGTTGAAGAAATAGATGAATAGTTTCTGATTCCATCATGTGCATACTCATTAAACAAGGAAACCAATTTTTCTTTCACCTTTGTTGATTCGTTCACCCCATCATCACCATACAACTTATTGTAGCACCATTCAACAAAACTCATCTTATATCTAGGATCCAAAATGACAGCTATGGCTAAAATCATACTAAATTCAGACCAATATTTGTCAAATTTAGTGAACATCTTTTCAGCCATATTCACAATATAAGCATCATCACTTTTCAATCCTTTTTGTAATGTCAGATGTGCAGTAAAAACATAAGGAAAGTAAAGATTTGCAGTTAGATGCTTGGTTTTAGAGAAGATGCAAGTAATATCATAAAATACATGCAAGAACTCATTGATCTTTTCTATCCTGTCCCATTCATCTCTAGATGGACAATATTTGTAGTTGGAATCACTTAACTCAAGGTGCATGAAGGCACGTTTATAGAAGAGTGCACTATCAAGCATGGGAAAAGTAGAATTACATCTTGTTGGAACATCTTGCCTGCAACCTCTCCTAGATGCAAGAGAACTTTGAGCAACACACTGCAAAAAATTTTGTTTCCTTGCTTGTGACCCCTTCACATACTTAACACTTTCCCTAACTTTCACAATAGATGCATCAACCTCTTTCAATCCTTCTTGAACTATCAAATTTAATATGTGAGCACAACATCTCACATGAAAAAACTCACCATTGCATAAAAGTCCACCTCCAATCAACAGTTGATCTCTCAAAAATTGAACACAAACATCATTTGCAGAAGCATTATCCAATGTAATTGAAAAAAATTTCCCATCTAACCCCCAATCCTTCAAAAAGGTGTGAATTTTTTCAGCCAATGAGATTCCAGTATGTGGAGGTGGCATAAACCCAAAATTTAGAACTCTTTTATGCAGATGCCAACTCTTGTCAACAAAATGTGCAGTCAAACATATAAATCCATCAGTGTTTAAAGAAGTCCATAAATCAAATGTTAAAGTAACTCTACTGGTATTCTCCTTTAACATATTCAAGCATCTATCTTTCTCCCTTTTATGCAACTTAACACTATCAGCCTTCACTGTGTTTCTAGTTATAATATTCAAATCCGCACGCAAATATAGAAGAAGAGCTCTAATGCCTTGCCATTCAGTAAATTGAAATGGCAAATCATGCATAATAATGGCAGCTATCAATAACTCCCTAAATTTCTCATGGTCAAATTTAGGCTCTAAACTGAAGGAGCTATTTTGAGTTGAAAGCATCATCTGCCCAACATCTCTAGTATCTCTTCTCACACATCCATCCAAATGTCGCTTTAAATTACCAGTGCCATATTTACTATCAGCTATGTATAATTGATCACAATACTTACATTTGGCTTGAATTTTACATCCATCCTTATTTATTGGAATGCGCTCGAAGTGTTGCTAAACCTTGGATACTAACTTTCTCGGTTTCTTTGTTGGCACCTTTGTGCCTGCTGACCCAGCTGTATTATCACCCTCAACATTTGCATCTTGAACATCAACCTTGTGATCCATCATATTCTCTCCACTGCTGTTGTGTGATTCAAAGTCCATCTACATGTAAAAAAGAGAAGTTAGAATATCTATTATATAAATGAGAAAGCAAAATTCAGAATTTACATATATTATATATGGATCACAAACTTAAAAAGTTTCATGCACAAACTATTCCAATGCAGTTCCAAAGACTAGTGTAAGCAATAGCAACTTTAAATTCCGTGTGTCTCAAAAAACCAAGTCCCGTGTGTGCCTCTGATACAAATACAATCTCAAGAAGAGAGCATCATGGATCTAAGAAAAATACAAAAAAATCTTTAGAAAGAAAGTAACTTCTGAATATTCTCTTACATCCTCTCAATACACATATCCTATTTATACAAATTTCACATAACTCCTATTTAACTATCTACAGCCAATGATATCTGATATTTGATTTCTGTTACAACTCTAACTAACTAACAAAACTTCTAACAGAGTTGCTGTTGTTACAAGGCCTTCAACTCCTAGTCTGTAGCAATTGCCTTCCCCTCCAAAGCGACCATGTCCTCAAGGTCAAGGAGAAAAAAAGATGCTGAAAAACGTTGATGTATTGTACTTGGATGAATTGAATGGTGTCCAGAATGTTCTTGGTGATTTGGAAAGTGATTGGTTTCCCCATCTGCAGTCTCTCTTTATACAACACAATGATGAAATCAAATGCATAGTCATGAATTCAAGTCAACATGCTCTTGATGCTTTCCCCAACTTGGAGTTATTGTCTCTCGATAATCTAAGCAATTTGGAATATATTTGCCTAGGTCCTGTAACTGAGATATCTTTCTTAAAAATAGGAGTTATCAAAGTACACAAGTGCGATGGAATGATATGTCTCTTCTCAAATTCAATGATCAAAGGACTTCCTCATCTTGCTGATATAGAAGTTTCAGAGTGCAAGCTCATGGAGGCAATTGTGGTTGTAGAAGGTGTAGAGAATCCTCACCTAGAATTTCCTGAACTACGCTCCCTAAACTTACAAGGACTCCCCACATTAACCATGACCTGGTTGGACAACAGATATAACTAATAATAATAATCCACGCATGCATAGAACAACAAAAAAGGGGGAAACAAATTAGCAGAGGACCTTGTCTACCACACGGTAAATCACAACTTCAGGATGAAGCTAGATATGGTCAATCAAAGAAGAATCATACAAAGCTAAATTTTTTTTCTCACCCTTTGATTCATTTCTACTTTTTCTGAATTGGGTAATCAAAAAGAAGGTAAGAGAAGAAAGAGTTAAAAAAAAAAACTGACCACTATGCGCAATGGACGATACGGTCAACCTTGAGAGCAAACAAAAGAGTGAAGGAGAAGAGCAAGGTATGAGCTGTCAGAGCTTGGAGGGATTTGGCCACTCTTCGTTGTCATACAACTTCCAGTCGCGGGTTTCTAAGGAACAGAGACGAGATCGACCCCTGGAGGCGAGAGCAAAGAGACGAGACGGGCAGAGAGAGGCGAGAGAGAGAGAGTTGCGCTGTTAAATGGAAACCCTAAAGGGCTAAGGCGTTTATTTTTTCCTTTTATACCACAGAATAATTAGTATAATAAGTAATAACTTTAAATTGAACCAGATTTTTCACGGGTCAAATGGGTTCACAGGTTGACCCGTGACCCGACACGATTTTTTTCGTGTCACTATTTTCCAACCCTAACACGACCCATTTACTAAACGGGTTGACCCATACACGAAATTTTCGTGTCGGGTCCGGGTCGGGTTCGCGGATCGTGTCACAAATTGCCACCCCTAATTGTATGTAAGTTAATATTAATATTTTTGGCTTAGTGAGTCTATTTTATGTTTTTAATTTTTTATCATGATTAATACGCAGTTGTAGTCCTTTAATAATTCTTGTTCGAATTGAGTTTTTTAATTATTACTTATCATTACATAAAACTTTGAAAATTCAATTTCTATTTAAATAATAAAAAATTAAGACTTAATTGACTTACAAAATATTTTAAAGGTTCAGAATTTAAAAATTTGATAAAAATTTAATAAAATTCGAATAATCTCGTAAGAAGCAAGGTTAAAAAAGTCTTAAAAAGAAATAGAAAATGTTGGAATTTTATAATTTTGGATAAAATTTGATATTTGAAGTTATAAGATTTATGTTGAGCTAAGCACTAACTCATCCCCGATTTACAAAAAGAAGAGAGAGAGGGAAGGGAAGGGAGTGGTAGAGGAAAAGAGTGTATCTCCCAAACCCTAAAATGGACGACAGAGACAAATCCGATAAGAGAACCAGAGATCGCCACTCCGACCGCGACCGCGACCGCGACCGCGACCGCGACCGCGACCACAAGCATCGCGGCGATGACAAACGACATCGCGATTCCGACGACCACCGCCACCGAGATTCCGATGACCACCGCCATCATCGATCGGACAGGAATCTCAAGCGCGACCACAAATCCAGGGACAGGGAAGACAGAGAAGGAAGCAGGGATAGGGATAAGGATAGGGCTTATGAAAGAGAGGATAGAGAGGGTAGCAAAGGTAGGAGGAAGCGTGATGAAGAGAGGGAAGATTCATTGGAGCCGCGACACTCTTCTCATTCTCATAAGCGGAAAGACAGGGAGCACAGCGAGGACAGGGTGTCGGAGGATAAGAAAATTAGGGTTTCTGACGATAGGAAGGAAGGGAGGAGAGAACGGAGGAAGTTTGGGGATAAAGTTAAGAAGGAAGAAGAAGAAGAAGATCATGATTACGACGATGTTCGAGGCATTCAAGTCATTGTTGATGAGGTCAAGGTTAAGGAGGAAGTCACTAATGGTGCCCATGGCTCTGCCAAAGGCACTGCTTCAGTACAAAACGTGAGTTTCTTTCTTTCTTATTTTTTTTTTCTATCGTTCTTTTCAATACTATGTATTTAGAATTTGATGATGCCCGGTATTTTTTTATTTCCCGAGATCATTCGTTTTTGTTGTTGTAATTAAATTTAAGGGATGTTTACTCCCTTAGTATTGATAATACATGAGTGCTAATTTAGAGTATCGCGTCAAATTGTAGGGTTGTTTACTTTCACTTACTGATTTAAAAGGCATTAGTAATTAGTACTGAACTAGAATGAGAATGCTAATTTACTTGAGAAATTATATGGGAATCCTTATAGTCCTTTTATCAATGTTTAATTTGAATGACTGTCTCATATGTTTATTGATAGGTTGGTCTACAGGAGATATGTTTTGTTTTCTGTTCAACTATATCAGTCCTCTGTGTTTTCTTATTCCTTCTCTTCTGTTATTCACTGTGAAATATTTGAATAGCGACACACAGTCACTGGTGTTTAATTTTATGCTCTTTCAGGGCATTGCCTTGGGATCGCCTGCTGTGGCGCCCACAAGTGAGCCCGAGACATATTTGGCCCCTCCTCCTTCCTTTCCTATCAAGGTATCTTCGATTTCTACCACAAATGAAAATAAGGGCGTTAGTATTACCAGGTCTCATGAGGTTACTGGAAAATCTAGTACAGATGGGTCATCTTCAACTGCTGGAAAAACTGGAAGCCTCTCTATTGACGCCTTAGCTAAGGCTAAGAAAGCTTTACAAATGCAGAAGGAGTTGTCGGAGAAGCTGAAGAAAATTCCTCAGGTAAGTTGGGCATTATTTCTACTCATAAGTACCTGTTATCACCTGAATATTTCTATCTATTAGCTACCAGGTGATACTGATTTATTTTACCATAGTTATCCATGTTCCTCCAAATGCATTAAGTGCTGTGCTTTTGGTTGTGTAGTTGAATAATTCTACCCCAAATTTGCAAGGAAGCACACATTTGGATTCAAAGAATGAATCTACAGTCCCCTCTGCTAGTGCTGGAGTAGCATCAAAAACTGCCACCTCAGATTCTTTGGGGCCTGTTGCAAATATGTCAATTTTTCCTGCAGCTGCTGCTGCTGCTACTCAGGCAAATCCTCCTGCTAGTGGCGCTAATGCTGCTAGTATTGCAACTCTACCCAACTATGAAGCTGTCAGGCGTGCTCAGGAGCTTGCTGCCAGGATGGGATTCCGTCAAGATCCACAATTTGCTCCACTAATAAATATGTTTCCTGGCCAGATGGTAGCAGATGTTGCTATCCCGCAGAAACCAACCAAGGCCCCTGTTCTTCGTCTGGATGCTCATGGACGGGAAATAGATGAATATGGGAATGTTGTCAATGTTACTAAGCCAAGCAACCTTAGCACATTAAAGGTGTGTAGTCTTCTCAATTGTCTCTTTTTATCAGTTATCTTTTTCTACTTGGGATTCTTGTCTTAACCTAGAATCTGTGTCTGAACATTCCAGGTCAACATTAACAAACAGAAGAAAGATGCATTTGAAATACTGAAACCTGTATTGGATATCGATCCTGAATCTAATCCTCATTTTGATGAAAGGATGGGTATCAACAAAACAAAGCTCCTGCGGCCTAAGAGGATGAATTTCCAGTTTGTGGAGGAAGGAAAGTGGTCAAAAGATGCTGAAACAATAAAATTGAAGGTATCTTTACATGTCCTTCCTCCTTCTTCCACTCTCAAGGGACTTACCATCTTACTTAATCATTTTCCATTGCCTTATGTGTGCTTTGGAGAAGCTCAAGCAAAAGAGCAGAAGGCCAAACAAGCACAGCTGGCAAAGGCAAAGGCTGCTCCTGATATAAATCCAAATTTAATAGAAATACCAGAGAGTGTCAGAATTAAAGAAAAACCCAAGGAACAAATTCCAGAAATTGAGTGGTGGTAAGTTTATGCCTACTTTGACTACCGGTTTTTTATACAAGTATTGTGCTTGTGAACATGTAAGGGTTGTGTTAAGGGCTATATGAACTGCATAAATTTAAATAATTAATTTTTTTTTTAGGTTTTTTATAAAAGTGTTGTGTTTGTGAACGTGTAAGGGTTGTGTTAACGGCTATATGAACGGCATGAATTTAAATAATTAAAAAAAATTAGGCTAATATGAATTAACCCATGTTCTTTCCTTTCTGTTGTTTGCAATGATAATTATTATCATGATAGGAGAAGAGACAAAGTGACAAACTGGAATAGACCAGGCCGGCAGTTTGAAAAAGACTGCTAGAGGGGTATTTGAATAGAAAGAGTCTAAAGACTAAAAACACTTCTAATGGCCACGAAATCAGACTTGACAATGAACAATTTGACACGAGTGACTATTTGTGTATCTAGTGTTGCCTGTCTTGTGGAACTGTCGTTTTGTTCCTTAAATACTGAAAATTAGCAGAAGAAAATGTGATCAAAATAATTTTTTTCCCCTTAGTTAATTTGAAAAATATTCAATTAACTGCTTGAATTTATTAGGGACATGCTTATTCTGAAATCTGGAAGTTATGGTGACCTTGCCAACGAAACCATAGGTGAAGATAAACTGAGAATGGACAGAGTTTCATTTTATGTGGAGCATCCTCGTCCGATTGAACCACCTGCTGAGCCTCCACCACCTCAACCCCTCAAGCTAACCAAGCAAGAGCAGAAAGAACTCAGGACA